AAAAAAACTAAGCAAATTGAGCATTATTTTTTAAATGTTATTTTTATTCCACCTAAATTTAAAAGGGATTTAAAATGACTTACAAAAATACTTGAGTAAAACCTCATGTTCATTAGCATGGCTACTATTAAAAAGAAAATAAGTGTTGGTGAGGATGTGGAGATATTGGAACTCTTGCATACCATTAATGGGAATGTAAACTGGTACAGTCGCTTTGGAAACTATGGCATTTCCTCAAAAAATTAAAAGCAGAGCTACCCTATAATCCAGCAATTCTATTTCTGGGTATATACTCAAAAGAATTGAAAGCAAGTTCTCAAAGTGGTATTTGTATACCCATATGATTCATAGCAGCATTATTCACAATAGCCAAATTGTGGGAGCAACCCAAGTAACCATCGAGGGAGGATTCAAAGGCAAAATGTGGCATGTACACACAAACACACACACACACACACACACACGTATGTTATTCAGCCTTAAGTAAGGACATTCTGAAAAATGTTACAACATGAGTGAGCTTAAGGACACTATGCTAAATGAAGTAAGCCAATTACAAAAAGATGAATACTGCATGACTTCACTTATATGAGGTACTTAGAGTAGTAAAAATCATAGAGAAAGAAGAATAGTAATTGCCAAAGGCTGGGAAAAGAGGAATAAAGAGTTATTGTTTAATGCGTATAATTTTTCAGTTTTGCAAGATGAAAAGAGTTCTGGAGAGGGGTGGTAGTGATGACTGCACAACAATATGGATGTACTTGATACTACTTAGCTGTACACCTAAAAATGGTTAAGACAGTAAATTTTACATTATGTGTATTTTACCACAATTTTAAAAATTGAAGGGAAAAATCACAGCAATACAAATATTAACATTGACAACATGAACACTGAATAGTTTAAGGTTTCTTAATGGGATTGGTTTCTGCCAAAATACTATGATTTAAAAGCACTTTATATATCTTTTCTGAGAAGTGATATCACAAACTTGATACTACATTGTTTTCAATTTTTAGAAATTGCCTTATTTTATCATTCTATTTAATTTTGTCTTTTAATATATAAAACATTTATATGTTCTTAAGTGTAAACCACAAAACAGGTACATTCAGAAAATATAGCTTTTATCCTTGCCCTTGTTTCTTGTTTTCTTCCTACCCCTATAAATTGCCAATTTTGTTAATTTTTTACTTATTCTTTCATTCTTTTTAAAAATATTAAAAAATGCCTATCTTTCCTGTTTCACAAAAGTTTGTATGCTATAAATATTGCTCCATGCCTTGCTCTTTTTTAGGATAATTCTTGGAGATTGCTCCATAGCTGTGTACTGAGACCCTCCTTTTCCTTTTCATAGATGCATAGTCCTACATTATGAGGATTGAGATTGGCAGAATTCTAAAGGTGACCATCCCCAAGGTCCTCCCTCTCCCACCCCAGCTATTCAATCAAACACTAATCTAGGAACAACTGTAAAAAAAAAGAAATTAAAGATAAATAAATCCTAATTCAATTAACCTTAAAATATGCAGGTTATCTGGGTGAGCTGAATCTAATCAGCTGAAACCATTAAAAGCAGAGCGCTTTCTCTGTCTGGTGGCAGAAAAAGGAAGCCAAAGACATTTGAAGCATGAAGGGGACTCAGGACATACGAAGTGCTCTTTTTGTCCTCCAGGCAGAGAGCAGAACACCATGCTGTGAATTGTTAACTGAGAGTGACAGCCTCTAGAGGCTGAGAGCAAGCTTCAGCTAAAAACTAACAAGAATATAAGGACCTCAGTCCCACAGGTGCAAGGAAGTGAGTTCTGCCAATAATCAGTGAGCTGAGAAGAGGACCCAGAGCCTCAGATGAGAACTCCAGCATCAGCCAACATCCTGAGTTCAAGTCTACGAGACATGAGAAGAGGATCCAGCTACCCGGTGCCCAGACTCCTGACCCACAGAAAGTGTCTTATTAATAAATGTGTGTCATCTTCAAAAAATATATGAGTAAATTACTTTAATAGGCAGAGGACCACCATCACCCCCCAAGACCAGAGCAATAACATGAGGTGAGTGGAAAAGTTATACAAATAAAGTCATGCTATAAGAATCTATTCAGTACTAAAGAAGAGATGCATATGTGATTCTGGGTTTCTTAGTGACCAAAGCCACTAAGGAAACATGATTAGTTACAAGTAGTAATTGATATAAGAAATATATACACTGGTTGTGCAGCAGAGAGATCTGAGCGAAATTTCTTCCTCATAGATCCTTATAAAGGGTACACTAAGTAAACATTATAGTAGACTTTAATGGTCATGAAAAGCAATATATTATAAGGCTATTTTCGTAGTATCTATTATTGTAAGTGGAGGACAACACACCAAAGCAGAGTTTACTAAAAGCAAATATAATAGAAAGTTAAACACTATAAGCACACATTCAGACACAAGAATGAGTCTTTGTATATCTGAAACAATGAGGAAATAAATTTGATTACAGGAAAGCTGGATAGTGCTGGGTGATAGCAGGCTTAAAGCCACATGCAGGCATCGAATAGGGAGGCACTTTAACTCCAGACGTCACAAGATAAAAGCTGCATTAAAGAAGAAATAGTCTAGCAGTGATACAAGGATAGGCTGGACCAAATTTGTCTAAGCCCCTCTCCCATTATCCACTCATATGCAAACTTGGAAAGAAAATTGTTTTTGAAAAATTACCAATATGTGAGTCAGTCTAAATGCCAATTGTATTATTGGCATCCAGTGTCACAGGGAAAACCAGAGAGATTCAACCTGTATGGACAGTTCTGATTTCTATAGGAAAAGAGTCATATTTTTTCTACAGTTATGTTAGCAAAAAGCATAATTTTTAGACCTATTCCATCGACTATGAAGGTCATGAACATACGATGAGAGGTGACATTAGTAATTCTCAAAACCTTCCAGTTTTCTCACTGTTTATCTACAGTAATGGTTAGCTTGAGGTTTTCTTTCAACACATACTTCAGTTTAAACCCCAAGCCTATTTTTTTCCCCCTCTTAATACAATACCACTGCTATCCTGGGTAAGAACACATTCATCGCAACATATCCACCATTAGCCTGGAAGTTACTGGCAGAAGTTTCTCCCTAGCCCCTTGATAGTGAACTGAGAGGCTGTAAATTAAACTGGGTCTCCTCTCCCCACCAGGGCATTGAAGAGAGCCATTAGAAGAGCTCGCCTTCAGTCTTTTCTTCTCACTATATGTCATTTCTGTGATAATATTTTGACCACATTTTATACTTTAATTTAAACCCACATAAGACTAAATTCTCTCTTAACTCCAATAATCAAAGGCACCTGAGAAAATCCCTTATGAATAAGTACTGCTAGCCAAATTTCTAAATATACATAATACTTTGTATTACTTTTTCTTGTTAAAAGGAATACCATTTAATTGCAAAAAAAATTTGAGAAAACATTATTTTTACATATAAAAATTAATTCAAAGCATTGTACACTTTAAATGGGTGAATTACATGGTATCTGCATTATATCTCAATGAAGCTGCTATTTAAAAAATTAATTGAAAGTCCACTGTCCTAGCGCATGGTTTGAAACTGCAGCTAATTGAAAGTGGGTTGTGTCTTTCATGAATATTTTTATCATAAGGTTTATAATATTCAAGAATCCTTGTCTATAAGAAAATTTGTTTACAAGAAATTTATATTTATGATTTAATATTTGTTGAAAATCTTCCTTACACAACATACTGTACTAAGTGCCTCTAACTTAGCAGGTCTATAATTGAATTG